GTTGTGGGTATTGAGCACTCATGAAAATGTAGATACACCCATACCAAAACAGTGGTGTCTTCATTTTCAAAGGATCTGATTGGTTGCCTGTCTCCAGTCATTGGCACACTTGTAGTATGTTGTTTTAACCTTCCCAGTGAAGTTGAAGTATTTCCTTTTTTTAAGCTAGGTCTGTATGTCACCTCTGTCTGCATGGCCCTGCAGAGAGAGGTGACATCTGAAGCGCTTCAGATGGTGAGGGAACAGACATACGTGCCTTATGAAGCATTTCAGAAATCCTCCTGAATCAAACAGCAAGGATTTGGAAGCGCTTCAAAATGAATTTCTGCCAATTATGGGTTCATGCTCCATGGAGCATGACAGGGGGTTGCTTGGTCCTCTGGCATCCCTCAGTGCTCTGTCCATTTTTTTTTTTTTGCCTTTCTCCCCACCAACCCCCCAAAAGCGGGGAATAGAAGTGGGGAGAGTGGGACAGATAGCCAGTGAATGCTCTCCAGTGTGCTCGGCCACCCCCGTGCCTGCATGCCTTCGGTCTCCTAGTTTTGGCAGGGGAGCACTCAGTTGGGAGTGGGAGCCTGAGAGCCACACACATAATCATTCCTAACATTGTTCTCCTCTCTGGAATTGGGAGCGTGGAGGCTGAGCACACAGGAAACCACTCGTTGGCTCTCTGCCTTTCTTTTGAAGCTGCAGGACAGAGACCTGAGGCCCCTACGCCCCTGCAACCACTTGCTGGAGAGTGCACTGCTACATGCCACTGCAGGCATTTAGGAATGCCTTCGCTAGTAGGAGAAGGGGGAGATGCAGAACTGAGGAGGCTGGGTTGGTGAGGGGAGGTGGCTATATGTCTGTCCACCACTGAAGCACTGCACCTTCTTGAAGCAGTTCAAATGATCTGCCTGTCCAGGGTCTATGTTCCAATGAATAAAAGTGAGAAATGCATATGAGCATGGGTTTGTGCAGGGACTCGTGTGCTACCCATTTGGTCCTTAAATTATGTAGCCAGCTTGCACTGAATTGATTACAAAATCATCTAATTTTCATTGTTTACAGTCATATTGCTAAAAAATGAGTTGTGGAATATAAGACTACACAGTGCATATAATTAATTGGAGCTATTAGCACAGGACTAGTGTTTGTTGTTGAAGCAGTGCCATCAAATATTGATGGCTAGAACAGGGTTTTCAACCTTTTTTTATCAGTGTATCCCTGGTGGCTAGACACGGGGGGAGAGGTGAGAGGGTGGACACAGCTGGACAGGGAGGGGGGGATGGCCGTGGCCGGGTGCGGACCGGGTGGGTGGGTTGGCTTGGGGTGGCAGCGCAGGGTGGTGGTGGCGGTGGCAGCCGCCGTGTGCGAGCTTCCCCCCCCATCCTGGGGCAGTGCCTGTGTGGCCTGCATTGGAGCACCGCCGCCCTTGCTCCCCACCCCTCTGCCCCCTCCGGCCCTGCTCCTGAAAAAGAATAAAAAGATGAGAAAAAGAGCATTCCATCTTTTTACTTTTCTGTAATATATGAAACATCATAACCAGAAGGCAAATCTGACTACATCCTGCTTGCCACCAAAGAACTTCAAGGTCAATAGGCTATTCTAACTTTTCTCTGAGCCTAACCTGCATAAAATGAACTGTGCCAAACAGGAGATTTTACCACACCTTTAACTCTCCTGTGAAATATGAACTTTCATTTCTACCTAAGAGAATTTTTACAATTTTTTCTCCTATGCCTGATGAAGGGTGCGTGTACCCAAAAGCTTGCAATTAAAGATTTTTTTTGTGCGTGCAAAAATCCAGTTGGCCTAATAAAAGATCTCGCCTCTACCACGAGTTCTGATTCCTTTTCCCTCTAGACCAATACGGCTACAACCTGGACACCTGGCTAGAGTATGACTCCTGTGAAGTTCAGGAGATGGAGATACTAGCCAGTATTTATTTCAAATCTTTCCTTGCTCCCCACTGAGCCAGTGTTCTTGTCTGTTCTTGTTGCTCTGTTCACTGTAATCCCTGCTGTACTGAATTGCAAATGATTTCTGTTGATGCTTTAAGCTCTCTGCCATTGTGTAAAGGCAGCAGCAGAGAAGCTGGTGAAAAGGAAATGGTGAATCCCCATTTGCCTATTGATGTGGAGAGAGAAGAAAAACTGGTAGGTGGACAAGCTGAGATGAATGGGAGCTAGTCAGAAAATGAACATTTTGTGTACTGCTAACAGCAATATATTCTGTATTTTAGTTAAACAGCCTTTGCACAATCACATAACTGTGCTACATGTAGAGCCTTGTTGGTTGTATGTAATGTTTGTTGAGCATGTATGTGGGGCCGTATAAAATATTCTGTCAGGTCTTAATGAAAAGCATGGCCAATAATATAAAGTACTTTTAAACTGAATCATGTTGATGTTTCAGTTCAAGACAAACCAATAATGTAAACTTTATGGTAAAAGAATTAGAACGGAAAAATAAAAACCACTCTTTCAACCACTGAATTTAAAATGACATGAACAAGAGGGTATGTAGTATTGAAATCTCACATGAGAGAGAAGGGTGAACAAGGCTTCACGGTAAATCTTTTGACTCTAAGAGACTTTGCAAGGTCTCTAGTTGTATGGATTTTTTTTTTTTTTTTTTTTTTTTTGAGAAACTGTTGGTTCTGCACACAGACCTTTTCCACTTGGCTCTGGATAGACCAGCATTTGCATTTAATGGAAAATTTTCATAAATAGCAAAATGCTGGTCACCAGCAAGGCTTAGCGTCAATTTTTATGGTGTATCAAACAGAATGTACTTGAATTGCAAGATCAGCTTCCTCCGATATTCATTTTTACAGTTTAAGCAATAGTTTTCAAACAACTACTCTGTTTTGACTAGTTTTATGTATCTAAAATAGAGGAAAACTATTCATAAATATTTTTTCCATTGTGGAACAGTAGTGTTTAGAGAAGCTTTATCAGAACAAACAGAAGTTGGGTTCTTTCATAAAAATAAGACAAGCTTTGAATAGACACTCTGGGTTTGGCTTATATTACTAAACAATGAAAATAATTCAGTTATATGCATGTGTGATGAAGAGTTTTTAAATGTAGCTGTTTCATCTTCAGAGCTAAGCTAAGTACTACTCTTGTGTTGGAAAATATCAGATACGATGCACTTAGAGGTTTGGGGTTAGAAGACCCATTCTTTGGTTTAGGTTAAGTTGATTGTTTCTTTTAGAACAAAAACCAGAGGCTTCCATGCGTTTCGGCTTTTAAAACCCTATGCTGATTTATTTCACCAGTCAAATCTGAACTAATTTCTTGCCTAGTCAGAGCTTGCTTAGTTGAGTTAATTTTTATAGGTGCGTGTAGCAAAGGAAGCATAATTCATAAATGTTCTTGAAACTCAGGACAATAAGTCTGAGGGTAGGGATTAAGTAAATGGGTCTGGAGAATGGTTTTCAAAGAATAAAAAGGAGAATGGGAAAATCATTTTGCTACAAGGAGCAGGTGCAAGAACCATTAGGATTGTCTCTGGAGGATTTGGGCTAATTTTTGCACTCTGCTCTTGCTACCCTGCTTAATGTTTCAATACCCTTTAGCCTTCATTATGTGTGCATCTGGGGATGCATTGTCACATATAAAAGGGATAATCCAGCCGGTTCAATAATAACAACCTTTCTCACCCTGAAACAGTGAAGTATCAGATTCTGCAATATGTGAGACAAAAGGTTCCCTGCTACTTCTTGGAATAAAATTACAGTTGTTGTGTCTCTCCTTCATCAATGTGCCTAGCATTTCAGAATGGATAGTTCAGGTTCCTTTTTGTTACTGGAGTAGAAAAAGGGGTCTTTGTTGTAGCTTGTTATTGATAGGTCTATTTTTCTATTTTTCATTTGGTATTTCGCATATCTGATTTATTTAAATGCCCTTATAGGTCTCAGTATATCAAGCTTCGTTTAAGCTAAACTTGTTCAAGTTTCTCAGATCCCATTTCCAGGAAATCTTGATGAGATGCACACAGACTTTGAAAATACTATTTGCATTAAATTGCAGAAAATTGAATGATGAGGTCAAGTAGTTTTATCATGTAAAAGATTTGGCTGGGTTGGACCATTGGCAAGGTTAGGCGGGCTTGTGAATCCTATTTTTACTGGGCCTTTGTCACCTATTCCACCAGAGATGGTTGCTAGTAAAGAGAATAAGAAATGCTGCTCTATGTTTGGTAATAAGTTAAAGGATGTGGAGAGGTCATGCAGCTCTCAGGCCTTTTTGTAACAACCCAGGCAGCTTGGCAAAGCAAAACATTATGAGACAACTCAGCAGGATGCAGGTGATCTGATTGTAACACTGTTGCCGAAACACCTTTCCTAACAACTAAATCCTGCTATAAGTACATTAGAATATATGCTATGTGTGTTTCTAGCAGTTATAAATGTTAGCATAAATTGCATCAAAGGAGCCATAAATGTATGTAAATACAGAGTGCTAGAGATTCTTTTATGTGATAAATCTAAGGATTTCTCCAGATCTAAGCATGGAAAAAAACCCCAAAATGTTCACTAGTTTCACTAGCAAGGGGAACAATGAAGAGTTTGTTCAGTTTCTGCATGCTCTTGAGATGCCTTTAGCCATTCTCTGGATAACTATGATGGTGCTTGTGCTGACTAAGTTGTCCCATTGTTTAACCAGTTACTTTTCAGTTGCAAAATATACAATACCTGGTAAACCACTTAAAACACACATTTCTACAGCATTATAAATTGAAATATTTAGTCATTCAATGGTGTATTATGCAAATTGAAATATAGAGTAATTCAGTGGTATATTTTGCAAAGAGCTAGTTTTTCTCTAGCACAGCCAAATAAATGCTAGCTTATGGTAAAGAAAGAAGATTCTAGTCATGTAGCACAACTTAAGCTCTATGATTCATTATTCAATATATATATATATAGAATAATGATTCATTATTCTTTATCTATATTCTAGATCCTGTAATTTATTAATTTATTTATTTTATTTCTTGTGCTCCAGCAACATTATAACATGCACAACACTGATCCCAGGGGGAGTTCCCCTGTTTTTCTTCAGCCTCAGAATGGGAGTAGTCACAGGTCTTCCGGCTACGTTCCAGGGAGAATTGTTCCTCTTCGTCCAGCACCACCTCCAAAGAGCCAAGCATCAGCCAAATTTACCTCTGCAAGACAAGAAGCCCATGCAACACTTGCATCTTTACCGGAGGAGCAGCACCATCAAGCAGAAGCCAGCAGAAAGAAAAGACATAAAAATACTCTTATATGCTTTGCCATTTCTAGCTTTTCATTTTTTGTTGCACTGGGAATTATCTTGAAAATATCTTCAAAATATGCTCCTGATGGTAAGTTCTTGTGCAAATAATGTCACATTAAATGGTTCACTCCCTGTGAATGTAGCTGTCCAAATTTAGCATTGCTCTTTAATGTTAAAAGTTAAGAACCAAATAATATTTTTTACTTCAATATTTATAATTTAATAATACTTGTTAAATAAAATGCCTGAGAGTAGAGAAGTATAACTGTTTGTAGGATTGCTATGAAATATTGATTGCTTCAGCTGCTTTTATAAATTCAAGGGTAAAGTTCAGGGCATCAGGGACAAAAATAAATAGTAATGAGGTGGGTGGTAAAACTGTGCGTGATGATGCAGAAAAGGCATAAGTGTTTATTAAATGTATATGCTCTATATTTGGAAAGACTAGCTGATATTTTCACAAGTTATACTAATAAATGAAATACTTTCTGTTCCAAAGGTAAGTAAGGAGGAAGTTGAACAGCAAGTAAAGTTTTGTATATATTTAAATGAGCAGGGCAAGATTATTTACACCCAGCTGTTTATAAAGACATTGTCCAATAAGCTCTCTGACTTTTAACTAATTTTCAAACACTGGTCAAGTTCCAGAGGAACAGGGAAAAAAAGCAAATGTGCCAACATTCAAAAAGAGTAAACAGGATGATCTGGATAACTATAGGCCATTAACTTGACATCACTCTGGCAAAATCTTGAAAAAGCTGATGCAGAATGTAATTGGTAAAGGATGGTAGTAATATGTGATGTTGAGCAATGTGGTTTTCATGCAAAATAGGACTTGTCATTTAACGTTTTCGAGCACGCTTAACATTTTTCTTTTTACCTAGTGCACTTAAACTTCTGAAAGGCATTTCACCTACTAGCATGCAATATTCTGATTACAAAATCAATGCAAGGTCTCTTGAATGAATTAAAAACTGGCTAAGTCATCTCAAAGAATAATGTGCCAAGTGGGGGTTTATGTTTCCAGGGAAGCTAATTCTAATGCAGTTTATAGGGGATTTTTTTTCCCATGGCTCAGGTTATTTGGTATTTATTTCAGTAACCTGAAAGAAAATAAATAATTGATAATTGTTAATGACAGTTCAGTTTTTACAGTGTGATCTGGCTATCTTGTCAGTATTTGAAATATGTTCTTTAGTAGAACTATGTACAGACTTGTATATGTAGGTATTAGAAATAATAGTCATGTTTGTCCTTTATCTTCTGTCATGGGAAAATAGGGACACTGAAAAGAACGCTGACCCTGATGGGTGAGATTTAGAGGTGCACTGATACATTGGTCCAATATCGGATCAGCACAGATATGAAGAAAATTGGCTATGTTGGAAATCAGCCTGATGCGGCTGATAATTTAGCCGATAAATGCCTGTGTGTGCACGCAGCTGCAGCACAGCATGCAGGCAGCAAGGAGCACAGCCCAGCAGCTTGGAGAGCTGTGTGCAACTGGGAAGTCTGTTGTGGTGGAACAGGAGTGGGGAGGGAGGGGCCAGGGATACAGATGCAGATTAGCGCTCCCCACGGTGAGGGAGGGAGTGTGGCAGGGGCTGGGGTAGGTGCTGCCCAGCCGGGGTGGAGCATGGGATGTAGCCACAGCTCATCTGGGGGGGCACAGAGCTGGGGGGCATGTGCCCCCCCCAGATTAGTGTGGGGTGCGGCAGGCGATCTGAATCTGCAGACGGGCGCTCTTCTCAGCAGGCCTGGGCTTGGGGCAGGTGGCGGTGGGGGCTACTGGGGGGGCTGCAGCCACCCGAAATTTTAATGTAGCTGCCACCCAGGGCAGCTCTAGCGTTTCCTGGTGTGTGGATGGATGTGGGGGTTGAGCCAGGGATGAGCTGGGCAGGTGGCAGAGATCCTGGGAGGGAGGTTGGAGGGGGCTACAGCGAAATTAGCCCCCTCCCAGTGCTGCTACCACTTGCCCCAGGCCCCGCCGAGGAGAACCCAGCACATCCCTGGCCCCAGCCTGCAGCTGCAGCCTGCCTGCGCCACCCCACCCCACCCCACCCCACACAGATCCAGGGGGCACACCTGTCCCCTGTGCCCTTTGGGGTGCGCGCAGCAGCAGGAGCTGTGCCTTCCCCCCACGCAGCCCCTAGATGAGCCGTGCTCCATCCTGTGTCCCACCCCATCCCACCTGGGCTGCTTCTGCCCCAGCCCCTGCTCCACTCCTTCCCTCACAATGCGGGGGTGTTGATCTGCCCCCCTACACGCCTTCCCTCCCCCTCCCCTTCCACCACAACAGACTTACCAGCTGGATGCAGCTATATCAGAAATCGGATTGGTATCGGCCAATATGCCTCCTTAAAAATCAACAATCAGTATCGGCCCCCAAAATCTCTTCCTGTGCACCCCTAGTGAGATAACTGACTATGATTGCTCTACTATTACAAAAGTAATAAGAACTCTTGGGGAGGCAATATCTTTTATTAGAACCATTAGATAATTGCAAAAAAGTCTTTATTTGCAAGTTTTCGGGCACACACACCCTTCCTTGGGCATAGGAGAGTGCAAAGATTGTAAAATTTCTCCCAGGTGGAAATGAAAATTCATATTTCACAGAAGAGCTCTGTGAATTATGAGAGCAATTATAAACTTCATTGCTGAAAAACAAGGAAGATTTCTACACCTCCCTGCCTGCCATCTGACACCACCAGGGAAGAAATCCTGCTTGTCTACACAGCAAAGGACAGCTCACAAAGAGAGTCTCATGCGCCCAGAGGGACAGTTTTCCAGCTTCTGCTTCCTTTGTGCAAAAATGAAGTTTATTTCTTACATATGGGGACTTTTTATCATCTTAAACTTTCCCTAAGCCCGATGAAGGGTGCCTAAGCCCGAAAGCTTGCAGAAAAAGATACTTTTTGCAATTTCTCAGTTGGTCTAATAAAAGGTATCATTTTGGAACCAAGAGTTCTAGTTTTTTGCATTTTTTGTCTCAGACCAACACGGCTACCACATATATCCCTGCTGTGAAGTATGAATTTTCATGTCTACCTGGGAGAGATTTGACCCTTTGCGCACTCCTATGCCTGAGGAAGGGTGTGTGCGCCCAAAAGCTGGCAAATAAATATTTTTTTCTGCAACTGTCTAGTTGGTCTAATAAAAGATATCACCTCCCCAAGAGTTCTGATTACTTTTGCCTGCAGGCCAACACAGCTACAGTTTGTACCCCCTATTATTACAAAGTGAGTCCTTGGATATGTAAACAGGGAAATAACCAATAGGCATAGCAAAGTTTATTTTACCATATTTATCTGAATCCAAAGCAACCTTGAAGTTTTAATATGGCCACCTCAATAATTAGGTTCTGTATGTGGAAAACTTTTTTATAAATTTATTATAATTTTCCATGTATAGATGCTAATTATTGAGGCTTATCTTCAAATTCATCTGCCTCACTACTATGGCTTTTCCCACTGCAGCAGAGGGGCAGGTGAGTGGGGGGGGAAAGAGTCAAGCAAGCTGTCCCTTTGCTCCTTGCCCCCATACAGTTGACCCCCCTAGCACACGGGCGGGCAATTATTTTGTGCGGAGGGCTGCTTACTGAGTTTTGGTGAGCCATCGAGGGCAGCATACAGGCAGCCAGGGGCAGATAAATATTAATTTTCTAAATTTTTTAAGGGCCCCGTGGGCCAAATAGAATGGCTTGGCAGGCCACGTCCGGTCCTTGGGCTGCATTTTGCCCAGCCCTGCCCTAGCACCTACTCCTGCCCTCCACCCCAGTGCCTGCCCCACCCCCAACTTGCAGCAGTGGTGGCAGCTCTTGCCCAGGCTTTGAGGCTTGGTCAGAGCTGTTGCCACCGCAACAGCTGTTACCAGGTTGGGCTGGGGCCAGAGAAAGCATGTGCTCCATGCCCTGGGATGGAGCAGGGCTGGAACTCTGCTAGAGCTAGAGGGTAAGCAGCAGAGGCAGGGATGGCCAGGGAGGGGGGAGATGGAGCAGTGACAGTGAGGGGCAGCTGTGGCTTGGGCCCTAGTGGGACTGAGGCCAGAGTAAGATCTATGGTAGCCATCTGCCCTCCTCCCCTGTACTTAAATTCAAAATGTGGGGCTTTTCCCCTATGTTAAATGGGGGTGTGGGGTGGGAACGTTGTCTTGGATTCGAGTATGTATGCTACTACTATGCAGAATATTGTTAGAATTGTATCTGGAATCTTGTGCTCAATTCTCAGCTCTTCAAAAAAAACTTGGCGAAGGCTTCAGAAAAGAGCTTCAAGAATAAATCAAGAACCAGGAAGCCCTCTTTAAGGGATTAAACTTTAAGATTTAATTGCACCTTGAAAAGGTAAAGACGTAACTAGACCCATCTGTAAGTACTTACAGGTGGAAAAGTCTTTATAAAGTCTTCCAGTGTTTTTTACAAATACATGTTCTAGTTATGCATCAAGTCTAATCTTCAGTTTGTTTTACTGGGTTAGCTCATACTGATCCTTTCTTTTCTTTAAAATCTGAAACTATGTGGGCATTAGTATAATTTTAAAACTCAGGTAGTATTGTTTTAGGATACAATAAATTCACTTCATCAGTAGCAAATTATCCTGGAAGCTTAAAGCTGATGGATCCTAAATAATTATGCATGATCTGTATTTGATTGGCAGATCTTCAAGGAAACGCAGGGTGTTGCAAGAAGAGGTACAGTGATTCAGTAGGTGGAACTGTTCTTTGAATCATACTGCAATTAGCACATTAACACTATACTAGGGCAGTTGATTACTTAAGGTGAGGTCTTTCTATTGACATCTAAAACAAAGATTATAATCACTTGCATTAAAGACCCCACTGCTCTTGTTAACAGGTAGATATATTAATCCTGGGATCCAGGCCATTTCCAACCTGTTGGATTACATTCAGTTCACCTAAGATACCTTTTGTTTCTCCTTTGAAAAAAACCCCACCAGAATATATTGTCTAGGATTTGTGACATGATCCTGTGTGAAATCTGCTTAGAGTTTTCAGAAAATCCAGAGAATCAGAAATCCAGAGTTCACATGGCATCATATAAAACCCTTCAGACCCCTTGGGGCCAGGTTGTAA